GCTGAACCTACCCCAAGGTCATCCCTTCCACCCCACCACCTCCCGGTTTTGCAAAATAGCAATGAAGAATTTCACTAGTGCCATCAGAAAGCTCCACTACAAGAACATTCAAAGACTTCTCTCTACAAAGCCTCCAACTTCATGCATTGTAAGAATGTAACTAAAAAATAAGCCACCATAACATCAGCTGCTTTAACTGTTTTCATCTTTCTAGTCTTTGCTTAGAAAGCTGGACAAGGCTTGTAAACATACATGATACAGTGGTTTTCAACTTCAAAATTAAACTCTACAGGTTCCTTTTATCTCAAAAAGAGGTTTTACCTGTGGAGGAGCTTCAAAAGCAGGATACACAGCTATCTCTGGCAAATTTCTGTTGTTGATGTATTTATAGCAGTTCCATACACAGTTAATTAGATATGCCTGAAAGAAGAGAGATTTCTCTTTTTAAAGACTTCATATGCATTAGCTGATTCAGAAATTAAATGCTAGCTTACATTCATATGACAGAAAGGAGCAGAAATCAACTTAATCAATATATGTCCAAGGCACAGTTGCCATTTCCCAGATGTAGCCACATACCTATGTTGTTCTCCATTTAGCTCTGCTATCAGAGTGACTCAGATCATGAGCCACAGAGGTTTTAGCAAAAGAATTCACAGATCCATTCAGCTAATCTATCTGTCTCAGCAGTGCTAGTCAAATTAATCCTCAACTAGCTTGTGCTTCTGTGGATCTCAGTCTAAACTTGCCAGGAGGAAGACAAGGAGGAGAAGGACAGACCAGCACAATCCTACTCATCCCTGAGTTAGCATTGCTACTTGTCCAACTACCAGTGAGAAAGAGAGGGCACAAACACAACTGGGGTGGCAAGGCAAGGAGAAGATGGCAGACCAGAGTAGCCTGGACTTTCAGTCAGCATTAACTGCTGCAGAAAGACATCCTGTCACATTGTGTAAATGGTTACATTTATTATTATTATCTGTGTAACATTAATATCTCAATTTTTCATCGTCAGGTTAGCACATGGTTATACACAAGGTACTGAACTTCCCACTCACTACAAAAATATGATCTACCGTATTAGGCTTCACTCCCCCTGTGTGACATTCCTCTTGGAAGAAGTACAGAAAATTAGGAAAACTTTTTTATTACTTCATTTCTTCTTAAATACAATCTGAATGCAATAAAGGAATATTGTCATGGCCAGTGTATATTATCAACTCATTTCTCTAATATGCTTTGTCAGCACAACGGTTTTTGTAATTCAAATGAATGCCTCTGTATTTACATTTAAAAAAGGAAATAACTGATAATATCACCCTTCAGTAGGTAGAAAGATGCAGCTTTGAATTAACTTATGAATTTCCTCCTTCTACCACCTTCCTTCCAAAACATTCACCTCTGGTTTGTTAGGCACAGTGAGTGACAACACTAAGTACCTAGAATTAACTCCATCTGACAGCACCTTTATAAAGTAATTCATGAAACAGACACATGGTTAAGTTTTAACTTACCTTTAAGATGATAAATAAAGCAAAGACCACCAAAACAATAAACAAGAGACAGCTGGAGTCCAATGCAAGAAGATCATCTTTGTAAGGGAAATCCGGCTATTTAAAAAGAAATAGAGAAGGGAGAGAAAGGGAACAGATAAGCATGAACACTGCATAGTAAGAAATATGACAGAACATCCAAACATCACACCAAATGCAACGAAGTCTTGCATAAACTACTCTCCCAGAAACAAAGAGCTCTGTTTCTGACTAGTTTCTTCTTTGTCCTCCCACAAAGCAGTATTCTTATTGCCTGTCCTGCAAGAACAGGTCACTTCAAAGAAGGGCTACCTACAGCAGCCTTGTACTATGCCCCTAGTCACTTCCTCAATCTCATACTGATACAGATATCCATGAAATTCCCTTTTTAACAGCTGTAGCACAACATTTGTACCTGTGGTCCTCTACAACCCTTTTAATGACTTACATGTTGATTACCTCCTGTCAAGTCCAACAGTAAGTTATATGTTTGCAGAGATGAATCTGAAGAATTTGACTGAGCTTCAGAAGAGCCAAAACAAAGCACTGCCGTGAATTTCACTCTTCTGTTTCCCTGACCACAGTAACAAAGCCTCTCTCCAACACCATTTTTTTTAATCTGTTTTTAAAAGGATTTTTTTAAACACCTACTTGAACACCAGCCAGAAAAAGCTTATGACCCCATTAACTCACAGGGTATTCTATCTATTGAGTCTTCTTGCAGTTAAAAGACAGGCAGTGTTAATGAAAACTTTACTACAGTTTACTTAGAAGGTATTGTTGCAAACTAAGAAGAGCCATACAGAATGTGAAAAAGAACCCTCAGAATCTCAAATTCCACCCCATAATGCTGTAGGATCCTGTATAGCTATCCTTATCTATGCTTTTCTTCCCTTTCCCCACCAAATAAGCATCAACACATTTTTATTTGCAGGAGCAAACCTACTGCAGAACTTCACTGCTTAAAGGGTTACAAACATTGGTTTGAGTACACATGCAGCAAAGGCAGTTTAAACCAACAATTCCCATCACGATTCTTTCTTTACTCTTGCTGGCTTTCCTTCTAGGGGACAATGACACCTTCCACTTCTGGTAAGGCGTCCTTCTCACAACCACCCTAGCACTCATCCCTTGTGGCTGCTGCAGTCCGAATTCCTCTTTCTTAGGCACAGGAAAATAACTATAGCTCAGTCACATAATTAAACCAAAGTTTAATTTCAAATGTAAAGCATCAACTGAAGCTGAACAAACACTTACCAACTGATCCAGGTAATCCTTGATTCTGGGCAGGTAGGTTAGAGAACTGATGGCAACCAGACAGCTGAGCACAAAGTCGAAGAGTTGGTAACAGAAGAATGGGATCAGCCAGCCTACACGATGCTAAGAAGGGGAGAAAAAAAAAAAAGAAAAAGAGTGGCACCCTGGAAGATACTTAGTTAAAAATTCAAGTAGCAAGTTTTAAACCATGGGCTATAAACATACTTACAGCGATTGCACCATACACCATCATTGCACTGATCGTGAACATGAGGAGGGAGATTGCAAACAGAACACAGGCATTTTCTGCATTGAAAGAAAAACAGTAAGCTGCAGCTGACAGATACCTGAGCTCTGTCCATGACTAGGTTTTGCTCTCAACAGTCACATTTCCGCAAGCAAGCAGCAGCAGAACTGAGTAACTCTCACATCTCTCAATGGGAGAAAACCTGGTTCAAGAAAACCAGGAGGCATTTGTAAAAGTCCCTCTGCCTTAATCAAAAGCCTGAATAAAGCTCAGACACATGAGTTAGAAGCCTGACACAGATTGATAGTAATGCAACATAATGATGCTGATTTGCAATATACATCAGTGCTAAAACTATGTGGGTGATCATCTTTACAAATGGAAAGAATTTTAAGTAAAGCCAGCCCAGTATCAACCTTTACACTTTAAAATTGTTTGATTATATAATTCAGTCATTGGCAGCAGGAGCTTCTTCAGTAACACTAAGGAAAACAGGAAATCACTGTGTGGAAGGTATCCCATTATTTAGAAGGAAAGGCAATTGAACAGAAACCAAGTAGTAGCAGAATCCAGGACACTCAGGGAAATTGAGTGATAAAGATTCTCCCCATGCATCACAGTTACTGATGACAGAAGCACAGCTGCTTTCCACGAGTTAGATTATACTTGCTCTCCTACAGCAAGCAGTTTACAGTTTTAAACACAGAGAAAGAAACCAGTTTGAGAGTCTATAGATGTGGTAAGTTAATGTTTTAAGCAGTGCTGAAGCCAAACTGTTGTGGTTCCTATGCTTGAAAGAGATCATCTGAGAATCATAACTTTCTAGTCTGCAACTGATTTGAGAATATACAACACAGAAGCAATCATTTACCCAATTCAGTACAAGATAATAATATCTATGCACACAGACAGCATCAAGAAGGAGGTCCTCCCACAACCAAAATGCACTGCATTGATCAGGAAGCCCTAAGTACTCAGCAATAACCAGTAAGTACTGTTACAATATCCACATGCACAATCAAAATTGTAACATTCCTTCATGCATACAAACCCCTCTGGTCCATATACTAACATGGGAAGCACGTGACAGCCATTTTACACTAAAGCATCTCAGTCACAAGCTTAAGGCTACCAAGAATACCAACATGCATTACTGAACATGTGACATTTTACATGTATCTGCTTTAATTTTACTTAAAATGTTGGCTGAGGTATTTGGCCTTTTCTCACTCTCATTTCATTACTAGCAAACTTGAGTTACAGTCACAGGTCAGAACTGGGAGATCCTCAAGCCAAACCATGAATAATTAAGATGAAGACTACAAAACTGAACTCTCAAACCCTCAAAACTCTGTTGTAGAACAACTCAATCCCAGAATAATTGAAGAGAACTTCAGACAACAAGATGACCATATTTAAAAGCTGTATGCATATGTTACACACCTAGTGTAAGGCATATACACCATAATACTGCATGCTTTATTTCTAATCAGACAACAGAGTTGTACACCTACCAGCCATTCTCTCAGAAGCATAGTAATTTCCAATGACTTCATACTGGATATCAACAGTTGGCACTGTATTTGGATGAGTCACTTCTACCGTCAGCAAGATGCCCATCAGCAAGTTCACCACCTGAGAAGGATCACAGTTACCTAAAGGTTATTTACACTGCAACAGCTATGAGCTTCTCAAATACACATTAATAAAACTTTTATTTCAGTTAGAAACTCTTTGCTTTATCTTTACCTACATGTGGAAGAAAAAAAAACAAGAAAAAAACCCCAACACAGAACTGAACTTACAATTAAGTTTCAAGATGGTTGAGTTAAACCACTATCAAAACAACCAGAAGAGCACTGAACACTTGCTAGTTTTAATGACTCATAACTAAACAACTTTGCAAATAAACCAACAAGTGCTGCATAGGGTTTGTAGATAGCAAATGACATAAATGATGCTTGCTGCACAGATCTGTGAACCAGAAAACTGGACACACTTAAAGAGGCCAGGAAGGAAACAGGCACAAGGAACATTTGGAAAGAGTTTCTGCTTTCTACAACAAATTCAAAGGCAGAGTTAATGCACAAATAAGGTAGTACACCCTTCTCTCAGACAGCGCTGGGGGGCAGGCAGTATGAGGGAATGTGTAAGCATCACACTGTAAATACTGAGAGCATGAGGAAAAACTTCCACTACAGCTCTGATCAAGTGTAGCTTGCTTTTTGGTTTCTCCCAAGAAATGCTAGTTTAATACAAGCAGGAGAGAACGCACATATGTCTCTCCTCTTCACAGATCATTTATTAAAACCTCATCAGGCCTTATCAGGAAGGCTACACAAACACAGGTGAAGTTACAACCAAATTCCACACGAAGGCTAAACCCCAGAATTTCTAAGCACTCAGCACTGGCTACGTGCTCACCAGTCCTCCTCCTCACTTACACTGCCATTGAAGGCTACTTCCGCTTCCACATTTTGTTACATACCAGAAATGCTTTCAGTACTAGTAAGAGCTCAAGAGAAGCAGAAGTAGCTTAAGACATTGGATAGAGGGAAAAAAGAAAAAAACAAAACCAAAATCACCCCATGCCTACACAGTATTTATAACCTATTCAAGACCTACAGGGCACAGTTTCTGTTACTAGTATGTGAAGAGACATGCCAAAGGTTGCATAACAATAAAAAAAAGTAATGGTGGCATTTTGAAGCTGCCGATCAGTATTCAGTGCAGGCACCACCAGCAGGATCTTTTACAATTAGCCTCAAGAGAAAAAAAACCAAACTGGTTTGCAGTTTCTCACCACTTAAGCATATCTGCCAGATAGTCCTTCTTACACTGGCTTGGTTCCAGGAGTTAATGATAGCAGTAGTGGCTACACAGTCACGAATGTTTTCAGCAAGGTAAAAAAGCTTTTGACCATTTAAAAGGAGTTTCAGTTTTTAAGACTTACAGTTGCTACCATTAAGGCTCACCGTTTCTACCAGCTTTTTTTTTTAAAACAGGATTTTGTTGTTGTTTTGGTTTTAGTTCCCTTCCCCCCCGCCCCCCTCCAAGGTTTAGAGCTATCATGGCAATCAGGTTGCTTACAGTTTCTGCTAAGAAGAACCTTTCAGTGAAGGCAAAGCTGATCGTTCTGTAGAAATGTTATCATGCCATCATGTATTATACAAACTTATCCCAGCTACTTTCAGCCACTTGTATCCTCCATTTTATGCCTTGGAATGTAAAATATAGTAACTAGTATAGCTGGCAGTGAAGAATGAAGTTTAGCCACCAGCATCTTTAACCTTGAAATAAGCATATTTTTCCCCTCACAGGACACTTCCTACAGGGCGAACTGTCAAGTTGTTCATCTGCCACTTGTCCAAATCTTGTATTTTGCCTCCCCATTATTCAAATGCATAGAATACTACATTCTCTCACTATTCCCATTTCATCCTTCTCTACTCTGGCTTTCTGCTCTCAAGGTATTTTCAAGGCTTCTCTTCCCTCTTCTCCAAGTGATCAACGGGTATCAACCTACACTTTGGAAAGCAACTTCCTGCTCTGTTTTAAAAAGTCTATGTCAAGATTCAGATCTCTGGCAGTTGAAGCATTGATTTTTACTTCATAAAACAAGACATTCATTTATAGGCAAATCATTTATTGTTTATACACAGTCAGAATTTTAACTGAAACAGTAATAAAGTTCAAGACAAAATTCAATTATTACTTAAATACCAAGTTTTACTGCCATGATAGGTTGTCTGCCTCACGGTAAAGAGCAAGCAGCACTTGAATTAATACAGAAGTACTGAGGAATTTGAATGCCTTGGAATGGTGAGACTGATCCTACATCTGTCACTTTTTTTATCCTATTTGCATCCTATCGATGGTCCTAATTTAGTATACCAAAGTCCTCTGCAATTTCACTAGCTACTGAGTGCAGTTTCAAGTATTACTTTATTTTCTCAACCTGAAATGGCATGAAGGAAAACAGGAAATTAAACAGTCATTCAAAATCCAATCTATTAGGATCAGTGAGAGAAAATAAAAATAGTAACTTAAGAATAGCAACAAACCCAAAGCTCTACCAATTAACACCCCAAGGTTTCCAGGACTCCATTACTACTATTTGTCAATCACATCACAGCACTGAACAATTCATCATATTCAATATATGGTTTTCAACTAAGAGCAACAAACAACTCAAAATTAGTAGTCCTTTAAAGCGCAAAGCTAGAGCCCATATTTTAACCACCACTCTTTCACAGAAGCTTGATTTAACAGCAAGACCACAAAGCTGGTTTCAACCTGATAGTCAGCGTGACCAGCAGCAAGAGTATGGTTTGGATTGCAAGGCATTGTCAGACCTTCAAAGAACATACTCACTGTGAATTAAATACATGTTCACAAATGGTCTACACGGGGCAGTCAGAAAATTCCCAGCACAGGTAAGCCTCAGTGTAAACTGAAGATAACTGCCATCCCCTAAAAAAAAAAAACAAACTACCAATCCTGACAAATCCAACTTAGTGGACAATGTCCCATTCTGAGCTGACACCTCAGGAGTCCCAGCACTCTCCAACCTAGTCTTTTCGTTAGAAAGTAAAAAGATAGAAATAAAAAAGTACAAAAATGCATGTTCAAATTCTTTTGCAAAAGATGACTCCACTAAGATGAAAAAATTTAATTCAGTTTTGCAGTGATTTAAGATGTGTATTTTACTGTTAGAATTGGGATAACTGAACTTGAAGTTTCATGCAACTTATATAAAAATTAAAAAATCCAGTATCTGGTATTAAAATAGAAAGTCAGCATTTATTACAAACTGGTAACAGAAATATTAGCTCCCCATATGATCAGAACTCAAATGACTGTGGGACTGCAACAAGCATTACCTTTTTAATCAGTGAGCTGTATCTCCATGGTATACATTTAAAACCTAATTATGCAAGTGCTTAGTCTCTCTGGAGGCCTGAGCACGAAGTCCAGGTTTCCCCAAGCACTTCAAGTGACTAGAAGTCTTGGACATAAACAAGAATTCAACTTACGATTTGCTTATTTCCTTTTATGAGCGAGAAAGAAGAGGAAAATTGCCTTGCACTACTCCACCTTCTCATCTTTCTCATCTCTAACTTTCCTTGTGTTTTTCCTTAAATATGTTCCTGAAGGAACAAAGAAAGATGGGGTTTAGGTTTTTAACTATACTGAAATAATAAAAATAATAATTTTAAATGGGGTACTTCAGACCTTCTAGCAGTTTCAAGATTAGACTGGGACCAGCTACATTTCTTCATTTCTGGAGATCTTGTTCAGTGAACAAATGACTTTAGATCCTCCTCACCCTCCTGCTAACCAGTAGCACTTGCATCATTTTGATTCCATCGCTGAAGTTTGCTGCCAGAACGAAACAGCCACTCCCTCCGAAACAATGCTAGTACATTTAGAGTGTTTATTGAACTCTGATCTGATTTTTGCCAGCGCAGTGTTCATACTTCCGCTTTCTGGAAAACACTGTGTCTAATAAGAAAGTTTACAGGAAGAAAAACTCCAAAGCCACACATTTGCAATTATGGAGCTAGGAATAGCAGGTTTCTTTTTCTTTCCTACACAGGACAGTAGTGGGTGTTGCAGAGTAAACCAAACTGTATTAGTGCGGGAACAAGTATGAATTCACTAGAAATGTTCTTAACTCATCTTTTTGCACATACAGTGTTATGTATGTATCAGAAACAGCAGCACACAGACTAAAGCATGCTTAAAAGACACAGTTTGACCACACAGCATCAACAGAAGACATTTTATAAAAGATAATGTCTTTGTTCTCCCTAGACTCCCTGAAGTACACAACAAGGGCAGTGATATAATTAGTTTAGTGAGGAGAAAAGTTAATTAGATGCAAGGTTTGTAAGTACACAAATAAATAAGCAATAGGAAAATGCCCAAAGAAACTGTTACATAAGAATAACACACATGTATTAAGTAGCCAAAACTCTTATCTTACTAAAAACATCTGGAGTAGATTGCTATGAGACTCCATTTTATGTTTGGTATCAAATTCCTTCAGGACTGCACAGCACGAGAACAGAGTCTGTCCAGTAAATACAAGCTGACCAAGATTTTCAGTAACACAAAGCTATTGTTGAACTTAGCATTCTCCCCCACTAAAAAGCTACCTCCCTTGCAAAACAAATAAAAAAATCCCACCCTAAATGAGAGTTATTATTATTTGTCTCACTATAACTTTCAAGCACCGATTATTAAATTAATTTAGAAACACTTATCACAAGCTAGTGTCTGAAAGACTGAAGTTAGTGACACACTTAAATGGTGCATTAATCACCTTAACATGCGCTAGGCTATTTTTTTTTTGTCAGCAGAATGGCAAGTTTAATTATCACTGTCCAAATCATACTTAGCCTTCAAAAGGTATGAATTATAGTTGAATTCTGATTTTAAGCATTAGCCAAGACCACCTAAAGCTTCATGGTAAGACCTTATTTCAGCTCATACAGCTAACAGTTGTCAGACTTGAGTTATCACCTTCTCCCAGCTGACAGCTGAGAAGAAACAGGTAAATATTTCCAATACATAGTTTAGCTGATACAGTTTATAGAAAAAACACAGCTATGAAGTACTTTACATGCACGCTGCTACCGTGAACTCACTATATTC